AATCGAATAGTTTTAGGGAGCCTATTCGAATAGAATTGAGTAGATCAATCCCGTTGACAGAAGATTGCTGGTGGCACTTATCGGTAGAACTAGCTGAGAGACAGACGAAACGAAGGACCCGCATGGTGTGGTGGTGAACGTGTTAGTCCCAGGAAAGGGTAATAGCGCTCGTTCTTCACAGCAGACACCTGCGAACTAGTTTTTTGTAAATATGTCAGGATCATTGAAGTTAAACCAAGACATTTGTAGGCACGCATAGGATAGGACCAGGACACTATCCACACGTCGCTGATGAGCAACACTGATCGAAGATACGACCGTGTTGGCGTGTTGCATAACTTAAAAGACAGTGGCTGGCTGGCTAGGATGCAGATTTCCAAAAACTCGGTTTTATGTCATACGGTGTGAAACGTTGAGAAGAGACAGTAAGAAAAGTTTATAACTATTTCTCAATCGAGTGCAAGCAAAACTTGTTGCCCGAAAACTTTTTCACCAATAAAAATGAGTATGGAGAAACTTGCCATAAATATCCTGAATACTAGAAATATCGTCACTGTTCAAAACCGGTTTCTTGTAGTTTCCTCTCGAATCAACCTAAAATAACTAATACATATTTGTCACAAAGGATGCGACTTGTTACTGTAATGGATAGATGGGAAAAACCACCGTAACCACGCGGTGTTCAATGTCAGTGGAAACGGGAGTGACGACCATAACCACGTGATGTTCTATGGCAGTAGAAAGGGTCAAAATAGTCGTTGCGATTGTAAAAAACTTAACTAAATGCTTATATACGTAAAACGTAAAGTTTTTTCTGCACTGACAAATTGAAAACAGACCATATACATAATCGATGCGGTGGTGTCTTCTTATAACTATTCGAAATCCATCTACTTGGACACTTCAGGTACTTGAACAACACATTTCAACGAAAGAATCGAATTCCATTCTCGGAGTTTGTTACTATTCAGGTCAGACACGTTTCTTCCCTTTTCATTGGTTTTCTAGGATACTTAGAAATTCTCGACATTTTCAGATCGCAACTAAAGTGAAATTGCTTAGGTAGAGCAGTAGTGAGAGGTGTCCTTCAATAAACTCACGGTTATTGGTTCGATCCTGTGTCACAGACCAATCACGCTTTTTTCCCTAATAATCTCGCTTTGCGAAATTTGGTGACACACTTGTCTGGGAAAGTAGAAACTCTGAACTGACAAATCGGTAAGCCACTGCAAGCCATTTTTATTGTCTAAATGTGCATTTAGTCGCATCCACGATGCTACGAATGGAGTAGAAGGCATGGTTTGGCTTCCATGAATTAGGCTTTGGAAGCAGGTCATAAAAAGTTTTCTTATTACGATAATGTGTATCCAGATTTGGAGAATTCCCATTTGTCACAGAGGTTATATTCATTGTTGCTGCGCCCTCTGTTGTTATTTCAAGAGCGTCGAACGTGTACATCACAGTGGTTAAAGACGCCCACGCCCTAAAATGTATACACAACCGTTGGTTCGAAGCCGTAACCAGGGTCAATCAAGTTCTCTATTGGTTCAGGGTTTGAAGGCTGGAATGGGACTTATTTGGGATCGACCGGCATCCAGTTCACGTAGGGACGCTCTATCACAGTTATCTCAAAACTCGTGGGAGAACCTTCTCGACCAGCATTCATCGAAATTCATAGAGAAGGAAATTTTCAAACAGCAACGGAGCCCACGCGCAAAAGTCCGAAGTCTTTCCTAAGACACGGATGCGAGAAAAACGACTAAAATACAAGAGGTGGTGGATCCTGCACAGTAAATATTATGACGGTCATGCAAATGCGAATAAATCTGATGTTTAATGTGCTCGAACAAGTTTTCGAAGATACATTCCAAAAGCAAAAGTGATTTGAAACAGTGAGCGAAGACAAATTTTTAACTATTAGTTGTATTCACATGTGATTAGAAGAACAGACTGCAGATGGACGTAAAGAACTGTAGAGTGGACTTCACGAGGATGCAGATCACCAGGACGGTCACCTACACGTTGGGCGGATGTATTCATAACCGAAGTTAATTAGCTCTACTTGCAGCGGCAGTTATTTCACAGCTCACGGTATGAGACTCGCACGCACTACTATGCTCGAATAAAGCCAACACCATGGATGACGATTACGAGGGAAGGAATCTAGTGGGAAATGTGGTGAAGTCGGCACAATTCGTGGCGCTGGCCGTTCCAAGTATCCAAGTAAGTAAGTAATCACGTATAAGCACAAACATTCAACCAGATTCAGACAAGTTTTAGCACATTTTAGTACAATATTGCTTATTGAAGCAACTAGTCACTCCACAAAAGCGCAGGGGTACTGAGTTCTCGAAGAATCTTATATAGTTTCAAAGCAGCAGTCAATGGTCCACTGAGATTTAAGACTGCTTGTGATAAAGATCTGGCACCGCTTTAGCACCCTATCTCGTAAGACGTGTTAGTGAAGAAAAAAACTTTCGTCTCTAGTTGAACCTACTCATGAATATGAAAAACTTTTATCTCTAGCCGAACTGATTCACGAATGTGATCATCCGCTAGGGTGAAGGCTGCAAGGTGCCGAAGGGAATAGAAGTAGTGCCAGAACCCTCATTGATAGTAAGTCAACAACAATATCACTTTTATACTTTCATAGTTTATTAAGCTAACATAAGGTGGAGCACCACTCGACGACTGCACCTCCCCACATCAACGATCGATACGAAGGTACGGGGCGAGATCACGTCTGATCTCGGGGCATTCCTCCCTGCTGTCCATTTTAAGGTTTTTGGCATTTATCCAACAAGCCTCCAAAAGCTTGCGCGCTGCCGTTTTGGCACCCTGTGCGAGGATTGCGATTTTTATATCAAAATCTTCCCGCTATGCTTTTCTATCCTATGCGTGCTTAGTGGGGGTACTTTGTCTTTCGTTTGCCATCTAAGTGTTCTTTTATGTGGATACACAAAGGTCTGCCCGTCTCGCCAATATATTCGACTCTGCAATCATTGCAAGAGATCAGGTACATTGTACCTGAACTCATGCAATCACCGTACTTGCCAAAAGTGTAAATTACTCAATTTGTTGTTTCACACAGATGGTCATACAGGCGCTTGCAAACTGATTGGCGACGTAGAGTAGCCGGTGGTATTTCTACTACCGCAACCGATTCCTCTAGACCTGCCCTTCTTAAGAAAAGTTTTATAGCTATGCTTACTTCATCGCTAATAAAGGGCAGCATAAACTGGATTTTCTTTTGGCTAAGTGTTTGGTCTTGGAGCGTCACTCTCCTTTTAAACATATCTCGTCGGGTTACCATTTCGTAGCCATTGGAGATGGATATTTGCCGAACCAAACTGCGTGATTCCTCCTTTAATTCCTTCTTCGTGCACATGGAGGTGGCTGTTCGAAACATGTTTCTCACAATCGCCCTCTTTGTGTGTGAAGGATGGCAAGGAAGAAAATTAACCAGGACTTTTTTGTTACTTGGTTTTGGTACTACTTTGTCATGTAACCGATACTTGATAGGTTTATTATGGGCTAAAAAAAATATGGGCTAGGCTATCGCCACGGCGCCTTCGCCTTCCTTAGAGCCAGATTAATCCAAGCCGATTGTCCACAGTTCGTTCTTCTTCGGACGTTAAATCCAGCTTTAAGAAAGACGAAGACGTCGGAACGTTTGCCGAACAAATATTTGGAATAACCTGTTATTAGCTTATCAGTGAAAGAATGCATGTTGATTAGTTATATCGAGGTTAAAGGAAGTCGGTCTGTGGAACATTTTTGTGAATACCAATTCTGTCATACCGAAAGACTTTTCGTCTACAAATTTCATGTTGTTCTGCTTCCTAGATAGCCCTTGATTGATTGGTTGTTGATCACAAAATTCTGCTGCGAGGTATCAAACTTCTCTTCGATCTACAACTGCCGGCAACTAGCTAATATGTGGCTAACGAACGTCATAGCACGAATAACTCGGATTTCTGAAAGAAAACATACACGAGCTTATGAGCGCTCAGCATTTGATTAAGGCGGCGGATTCTCGATCAGTAGTCGCACGAACCTACAAGTGAACCCGACTCAACTACTAATGACGACAAGAACAGGGTTTATTAGTTAATTCATTTACATGACTCGTCATCACATCTACTGTGCGGATCCCAGCACTACTCGCATTCCATTCATTTTCTTTGCATTCATTGTCCACAATGGTCTTTGAACATTTCGAGTGGTGTTTTAGCTGCTGCTTGATGATTACATCCTCTTTGTGGAGATCGTAGAATGCCCGTCGAGGCGATTTTCTCTATTGGCTTGAAGATAGAGAGCTAAGGAGTTTCGGAGTGGATTGTGGAAGAGTGTTGAAAGGTCATATCAGACCCCTGATTTCCTATGCTTCCGACCATGATAAATTCTGATTGCTGTGTGCTCTAAGAGATGTAGGCGCTTTTTAGTAGAACATCCTACAATACACATGAGGAATGCATCATCCATTCAACTTCATCAGTCATTGTAGAAATCATTGAATGATGATCATACATAGATCAAAACTGGTCTATACAATGACTCACTATGATCTACCGTTGTACCAAGTCAATGTTCTAATCCTCCCGGACGAATCCATTCCCAATTCGCCAATCCAGGATGATGTAAGACTTGGTGAGCCTGAGGCACAAAGTTGAGCCAGCGATCGATCCACTGTGCATGGCACTTTCTAACTCATTGCATTAAGCGCAACCACATTGCACGTATATCCCATACTAAACAAAATAATTGGCAAGCATTTTAAAATCTAACTATAATGATGCTGAGATATTTGCAAAACTCCGGACTGCAGGTGTTTGCGATGGGGTCGAACACACTATTACCCTTTCCAAGGACTAACGCGTTCACCACCACATCATGGGTTTATTCGTTTCACCTTTCTCTCAAGAAGTTTTCTGTCTACCTAACTTCTACTACCACTTTGCTTTTACTTACTTCTCACTTCTATTTGAGTACATTGAATTTTAAAATGTTCCAACCGTTTCATGGTAGAATGGTGCCATAATCGAGCTTTCATCACGCGAATGTGACAAACCAAGTGTGTGTCCGGCTTCATGGATAGCCACAGCTAAGATATCAGTGTAGTCACCACTACAAAAGAAACCCTAATTTGATAAAAACGGCAAAATAAAAGTAAGTACAAAGTTTTTTGCTGCCTTTTTCTAAAGCGTTGTAAAAAGGTTAAATTATCACGACAACCTGTAGATTTTCCTTGCATCCATGTAGGTCCAATTCTCGTCGTCATCGAAATGCAGAGCTCCATTCTCCGGCATAGTCGCATGAGCCAAAACACCTCCTGTTCAAAACAGAGAATCAAGTATCGTAATTTAAACCACAGTAAACTCTAGCAAAAACTGTCAACTATTACTTCAATGAAGCTGAGATATTGGCAAAACTCCGGACCGCAGATGTCTGCGGTGGGGAACGAACGCGCTATTGTCCTTTCCGGGGAGTAACGCGTTCACCACCACACCATGCGGGTCCTTCGTTTCGCTTGTCTCTCAGCTAGTTCTATCGATCTTTTGCCATCGGCAATCACCCGTAAGCGGGATTGATCTGGTGAGCCTAAATCGGCAACGAACCCAGCTAAGCTGAGGCTGCAGTTATAATCACAATTTTAAATTATTGTTTACTGCTTACTCATTTTAACGGCAAGGTATATATTGCGAAATATAACTTTAATGATGCTGAGATATTTGCAAAACTCCGGACCGCAGGTGTCCCGTGTCTCCCGCTGACGGGTGATTGCTGATGGCAAAAGATCGATTTAACTAGCTGAGAGACAAGCGAAACGAAGGACCCGCATGGTGTGGTGGTGAATGCGTTGCTCCCCAGAAAGAACAATAGCGCGTTCGTTTCCCACAGCAGACACCTGCGGTACGGAGTTTTGCCAATATCTCAGCTTCATTGAAGTTATATTTCGCAATATACCCTGCCATTAAAAAAGAGCAGGCAGTAAAAAAAAACGATTAAGATTGTCAACTATTAGTTTATGTTATGTTTATTCAAGATTTTCATAAGAAACCACTGAACATATTCAGCTATCGACTACCTTGCCCATCGAAAGGCCATGGATCGTTGTGATTTCCGGTACCAAAACGCACCTAGAAAATGTGGCGACAACACATCTATGGGACACATGAGACACAAAACAAGTTAATTCTCAATATCAATAGGCTCGAGGTTGTGCGCATTGACTTCAATACGCAGAACTCAAAAATGATGTCCGTTTTCATTTTCAACGGTTTAAAAGAAAACCGTTAAAAGGTACAAATTTCTGCCAGAAATATTAAATCTACTTATTCTACCATTACAAAACGCCACGTTCATAGAATCCATATTTCTTTTGTCGTCGTTTGTTGAAGACAAATGTAAAAGAAATGGTTGAAAATAACGCTTAAAATTCATGTACATATGTATCCGTGGAGGTAAATTTTTCCTATAAACTACCATGGACTTAAAAAAGCCAGAAAAAAAAATGGAAAAAGGCAAAAATAACCAGCAGGTGTGAGAAATCCTGCTAGCGCAGGCGTCAGTGAGTTGAGTAATAGTTAGGCTAATGGTAACATTAGTAATATCTAATAAAAATTAACACTCATGTAAAAATAGTAGCGTTTTTTAAACCTGCCTTAATATCAGATCCACTGCCGGCTGGAACCTCTTCGAAATCGAGCTGCGTTACGGCGGCCCACGTTTCATAACTCTCACGAATAGCTCGCCTGAAATTGCACTTTCCTCTATCATTTGGCATTAGTAATATTTTCTTTGAAATTTTGTAAAAGATGAAGAAGATGGGAATAACAGTCCGAAGCTCAACAAACATTAGGAGTATGCTTTGCATTCATATCCATTCGTAGTTTTGTGATGGTAGTTGAATACAAATATGGCCAACAATGATTTTCGGGGACATGCTGATGTATCTAGTCAGCTTTTATCCTCTATCAATTTGTGGGCCCCGAAGGGATGGATGGCTTTCCCGTGACGACGGACAAAACCATTGACTAAGTATGCACCGCATGGCTTCTTTAAGTACTACTCTACATGCGTCTCTTTTTGGAGATTATATAAAAACGGGTTGGGGTTAAAGCGTCTCTTTGAAATATTTGTTGTATACGAGATCACTATGCAAAGGATTCAAGACTAAATTACAGTTGTAAAGTCTTACATTTATCGGCTTCTCTAATTTTATACCTGGTGTCATCTTTTGGAAGATCCGATGAGAAGTTCTCGATCGAGTAAGTTAAACGTCTTTTCCGCCACTTGAAGGCCGATCCTAAAAAATAAAACAAAGGACTTTGCAAATTCAGGAAACAAATAGTACGAGTGAGGATCAGTTCCAGTTATTTGGTGGCAACAAAACCCAAGGGTAAAGCCGAAGAACTAATCGTGGAAGGGAGAGACAATGAAACTTATGAAAGAAGTGTTCGAACGCGAGAAATAAAGTGATATCAAGCTAACTTAATAGATCCATTCACTATGTTTCATTTAACGCGAATCGACATCACATCTACTATGCGGATTGCAGCACTTCCTGGAATCGGTTCGCTTAGTCAGATCTATCGTCCGTTAACGTCTTCGAACTTTTCGTCTTTGTTCGCCATCTGGATTCGGCCGTTGCTTGGGTATTGTCGTCTTTTCTATCAATGACGTCGAATATCGGCGAGTCAATTTTCCATGGAGTTGTGGTATAGCCGGACTAGACCGTTCCCACTTGGACTGGAAGGACTGATTGTTCCTAGACATGTCTGTCGTAATTTTCCCAGCCCCGAAAGAATGAGAGGCTTGGAAAGCTCTAAACGGATTCAAACCAGCACTGTGCTCGTTGACATCGCTACCATTTCCGCTGAAAACAAACGAATAGATAAAAAATGAATATTGCCCTTCTTAACTCGCTGATTTTTGTAATAGCTTTTGTCACAATACAAAAACCTCATTTCCGCTCATGAAGTTGGCAAGCACCCGTGAAGAAGTTTGGAGAAAGTTATACAACGACTTCTTTAGATTTTTATTTAGTATGGCGCTTTCCATCCACGGATCTTCCTCATATGAGGGATTTTGAACCGGTTAATCGCGAGGCTACGTGGCGCGTCCCCAGGTGGTGGAAAGGGGTTTAATCGCGGACCAAAAGCGACCTTTGCTCCCCTGAGACACAGGTTGATCCAGGGGATGGACTCCCTGTTTCTGCTGCACTAATCTTCTGTATTTGGTAGACGTATTCATGCATGCGTGCGTGGGTGCGTTCTTGCTTGTGCGGATTGTATTTTACGAGTCAATTCGGCCAAAAGCCTGCAGTCAAGTGACTGGGAAGCACATGGGAGGCGGATACTAGTCGCCTCCAACAAATAAGCTCAATGTCCACTCTGGAAGAGCAAGGCAAGGTACTCGTGAGTATATCCAGCCCCCACGTTTAGAGCCCAGCAATACGTGGGTGTCAAAATGTTAGCCATGCTTGGGTAACAAAGTGCTAAACACAGTAAAAATAACGGTCCTTTTTCCCTTGACCCCGAAGGAGCGCCCAATTTCGCAGCATTGGGTAGGACGAGTACGGAGAGGCTGCCAAAATTTCAGAGCCAATGGAAGCTGCCTTGAACAACTCACATTACAAAGGACTCAGACGACGGTCTATACCTACAATGCACGTACACTTGCATCTGAGTCCTCGATAAAAGACTTGCTCATGCAAGCAAGAAGGATTGGGTACTACGTCATCGGCCTGGCCGAAACGAGGAGACGCCAGCGTTTCAACGCCGTCTATGACACCGGAGAAGAATTGTTCCTCGGAACATGCGACAGTAGAGGAGTCGGCGTTCCGTCAGCACGAGTTTGTCCATGAACGTCGATTAATTCGATCAACTTACAACTCGAATCGGACGTTCACGATTAAAAAGACGTGGAACAATTCCGGCTTTGAAAATCTTCGTCGTTAACGCACCGACATCAAACTATGACAAAGAAGAAGTCGAAGCGTTCTATATGTACTTGGAGAAGTTCTACAGAGAAGGCCACACATTCTTCAAGGCCGTCATTGGAGATTTTAACGCCAATAAGGGACCAAGAAGAACGTCACATTGGAACCCACGGATTAGAATGCAACGAGCAGGGTAAGCGGCTATCTGAGTTTATCACCGCAACCAAGACTATCCATGCAAACTCGCAGTTCCAGAAGCTGCACCCTCAACGCTGAACGTGGGAGTCTCCCAATGGAGAGTACCACAACGAAATAGACTACATCATAGTAAAGAGAACGCTTTGCTTAGCCGATATCGCTGTTGTCCCAAAATTCTACACGAGAGCAGACAACCGACTCCTTCGTGCAAGCTTCTATTTCGCGAAAAAGGGAGAAAAAGCCGCTAAATTCCAAACCCGAAGTCCCAGAACCACCACAAACTGAGACTTATTCAATTCATGGGTCGGCTAATGAAAAGATGCCGTTGTCGATAACATCGACGAAGAGTACGTTCGGCTTATCCAACATCTTCACGTTAGCGAAATGAAAGCTGAGAGTTCGAAAGTCACCAAGAGACGTCTGTCTTTAGAAACACTCGAGCTGACAAGCCAGTGTGGAAGCGCACGATCTGCAGGCAACCGCGAACTAACGTTCAAACAAGCAAAGCAAGGCAGAATGCGATAAAAGAAGATCTTAAAGAGAGAAGAGCAGCAGTAATGGTCGAAGCTGCAGAGGCTGGGAAAAGCATTCGCAAAGCCCACCGAAGCTTCGCCAATTACAGGAACAAGATTATTGCACTCCGACGCCCAGACAGAACAGTTACAGAGCCCAGAAAGGCAATGGGGAAAATCATTCACGAATACTACTCGGATCCCTTCGATAGCCACGTCCACCTCCCGTCATATGAAATAAAAGCGGATGGATATGTTGCACCACCGGTTCTCCCTTCCGAAATCCGACATGCAATTTCGTCGGTGAGCAATCGAACAGCACCAGGTCCGGACAGGATAAGATCAGAACACCTGAAGAACCTTCCGCCAGTCCTCGTAAACACATTGGCTCGGCTCTTTACAGGTTACCTGTCTGAATGCAAGGTCCCTACTCAGTGGAAGACCAGCGTGTCCGTGTTATTGCTCAAGAATGGTGACATACATGATATCGGCAACTATCGCCCAATCTGCATACTGTCTGTCGTCTACAAAACTTTTTATTGGAGTCATCCTAAAAAAGATTGACAGGACACTAGACGAAGGACAGCCATGTGAGTAAGCAGGGTTTCGAAAAGGATTTAGTACGATGGACCACATACACACGATAACAAGGCTCATTGAAGTATCGCGAGAGTACAAAAGACCGTTCTGTCTCACTTTCGTCGATCTACACAAGGCCTTTGAAAGAATTTGGATGCAAGCAGTCATGGAAGCCCTTGATAGTCAAGGAGCCCCTACTCAATACATAAAGATTCTTTGTGAGCTGTACAAAAATTTCACAGCCAAGGTATCACCATTCTACAACGGTATTAACATTGACGTCAAAAGAGGAGTTAGGCAAGGCGATACCATCTCCATAAAATTATTTACCGCCACCCTCCAGAGTCATGCGAACATTGGAATGGGATAATACGGGAGTGAAGATCGGTGGTCGGCAGTTACACCATCTTCGCTTTGCTGATGACATCGTATAACACCAAATATTAGGCAAACGAAACGTATGCTTGCCGACTTTGATAGAGCCTGTGGAAAGATTGGTATTCGACTGAATCTCACAAAACGATGTTTACGAAGAACGGATTGGTTTGGCATGTCCCATTCACGCTCGACGGAGCGAATATCTCCGAATGAGCGACCTAGCTCCAGAGCTGAGCGGAAGGAAACGAGCGGCTTGGGAAGCTTTCAAGAGCATCGAGGGTGTAGTGAAGAGAACAAAGAACGCCCGACTGCGTGCCCACCTTTTCGACTCAACTGTAGTTCCTGCCCTAACCCATTCGTCAGAAACCTGGTCGCTGCGTAAACAGGATGAAAGGTCACTCAGCGTTATCAAAAGCGCAGTCGAAAGAACGATGCTATGAGCATCCTGTTTCACACAAGTAAGGGATGGGATCTGAAGCTCCGATCTGCGTCAACGATCAAAAATCAAAGATGCCGTTCTGTACGTTAAACAGTCGAAGATAAGATGGGGCGGACACGTAATGCGCATGAATGACAACCGATGGACAAGAGCCGTTAGTGACTCGGTTCCCCAGGTTGTCAAACGTACTGCAGGAAGAGTACCAACCCAATCGTCAGAGTTCTTCACAAAAAGCCTTAAAGAAAGATGTGATGCTCGACGAGTTCCTAGGGCGAGCAGAACCCACTGGGCTACTCTTGCAAGCGACAGGGAAAAATGGAAGATTTACTGGCACCCGCTCGAGTCACTCGACGATCAACGGGACTACAGGTGATACAGGTGATACAGGTGATGGCGCTTTCCATGCACCCAGCATCTCAGTGAAGATAGAGGGCGCGTGATCTTCAAATGGAAGATGTATCCATAAATAGTCCAAACTTCTTCATTATCAACAAATATAGAAGAACGTAGATTAAGGGAAGAATGTTCACTAAGTTGGTTAAGAGCGACAGTCTAAGGTGGCGGATAGCACAGTGGCAGTGATGTCCGCCATCACAAGCATGGTGCTAGTTTGATTCCGCCCTGGGCGAAGCACGCATCTCGTCCATCTGGTGTCAGGAAATTGTTACCGAACTTGTCCGAGAAAAAAATCACTCTCTGCAATTCAATCGGGAACTTGACAGCCCGGCTACCTCAAGACTCGTAGAACTCCACGGAGAATTGCTCGACGAGCATTCTACGACATTAAAGGTGAAATAAAAATCCTCAAGCAGCAACCAAAGCTACACATAAAAGCTGGAAGATATTCATGGACAGTGGATATGAGGAAGCCAATCGAGATTGAGAAGTGCGATGATCCCCAAGGTAGACGTGAAGAAGAGTCATATAAAATAAATAAATAAATAAATATATGTACATATATTGGACAAATTACGATTCTTCTTATATTTGACTTGCTTACTCGTATTCATATTTCATGAATGTCTTCGAATTTACGACAGCAGCTCCAGCTATTGTATAAGGAATTTTGGTCTTCGTTATAAATATCATTGAATGTTGTTTGTATCAGTGCTTCCTAGAACTTTTGGATAGTCGTCTTATGGCATTGCCTGATCTTCAACACAAATCGCACTTTTCATAGATAGCAAGAAGCGAGTTGATGCAAGTATAGTATCAATTTTCTGAGCGAAGAGGATTTAGGCGGGTTTAGTGCTGAGTCGAGCCACCGGATTGAGAGTATAAAACGGCACCACAACCACTGGGCTACTCAAGTTCCGAAAGCAATACTACATCACGCATGCACAGATACCTCTTAACGGTTTACCACTTCATTGTGGCTGGGAGGTAATTTTGAGTGTTGGGCTGCGTTATACAGGGAGATTCATCCCACTGCAGAGTCTCCTATGCTGAGGAGTTCGGCGTTTCTGTCAGGAAGCTCAGCTAAGAGTGAAACAATTCCAGGATCTACCACTGTTCTGCTATCAAACTGGTCGCATGGTGGTAACTCTACCTCTGATCCTCAATGGCGGCAACTGCCTGTGGTGAAGGCAACTTGAGGCAGACTCTGAACAGGCTGACCTCGGAACTCCAGGGAAACGCAATAGCTGATGGCTGTTGTTGATACGATTACCTGGTCATGATAAGTTGTTTTTTTCGACAATCCATACTGGAGCAGCAGGTACTCGATAGGCTTGCACTTAGCGAAGGTATTCGAGTAGCTGACACACAGCGATGTTAAAGTTTTATAAATGAAACAATAGGCGAAAAAAACTATTCATGACAACCTCGTTCTCTTTTACTAATAAAACAAGCACTGATTAAGACACAAGTTAGAATGTTCCCAAGAAAGGAATTTAGCTGCAAAGAAGTGAGCGAAAAAAATTATAAGGAGTGGCACGAGAAACGTTGTAGTGGTTAGAGGTGCCTGTGGAATAGATATGTTTCCCTTTATCGAACAGACACCGTGTTAGCAAAAAGCTCTGATCTCCTTGATCTCGACTGATTGACACGAAAGCAATCGATATGTGTTTCAATTGCTCAGCCTAGACGAGATTGACAAATAAGTTCTATTCGGTTAACGTTTCGACGCCTTCCTCTTCATCAAAGCCGATGATGCCTGTCGATGGTCCACAATGAGTCGACTCTTTTTTTACTACCAAGATTAGAGGATGGCCGGTTTCAAAATTATTGCCTTAGCACAAGGATGTTATAGACTGCCTCTGAAACACGATTTTTAGGAAACAAACTTCTGTATGAACAAGAGAGCTTATTAACGAGGAAAAGGAAGTCCTCGTACGGTAGCGAAACGAGCGAAACTTATGCGTAAATCCGAAACGCTTCGTTGACGAAGGATACCAGGCAACGATTAAATGAAAAGAAATGCTAGAACTAACACAATATGCGAAGAGGAGCTACATAAGTAGAAAAAAACTGAAAGGATAAATGAATGTACCGCCCCTGGTCACTGCCAGAACGTCCGTCACACCGCAACGCGGCTCGGCCATCTTTTTTTTGGTATCCAAATCCAAAACTCCTGTAGGCTTCAGTCCGGCAAATTCTTGAAACTTTCTAAAAATCTTTGAGCTAAGCATATGAACTTACAGAAATTTGAACTCAGTTTCTACCATAATGAATTTTTTCTTCAAGAACAACAAAAGTAGTTAATTTTTTTACCAAGCAAGAAAAACGAGCTGTAAACTCACAAAAGGGCTTTCTTGAATAGACTTGTAGCATCACTAAAGTCAATTGACATCCCTGGAGACGCGCTCAGACTGTTGCTTGGTGTGATGTAGCCAAAATCTTGCAAATATCTCTAAGAAGTATAGTTGTATTAGCTTTATGGGGCAAGGTTATACGATAAGAAAGGTATAACTGAATGATGTGAAATCTAGATCATTAATAACTATAAAGTTTTGTTGTATTTAAAATTAGACATTTGCTACAAAAAATGTTTTATCGACTTGAAAAATAACTGTTTTATTAAAGGAAAAAGGATGGTGTATAAAGAATAAAGCTTTCGGCGTTGATCAATCCCTGAGGGATGCGCCATGCATTCGACTTCATTAAGTATGTTGGAGGCGATTGAATGCATATCTGACCTATGCAATGACTTGCGGTGACATGCCGATGTATTGAGCCAGTGCTGCTTTCCTCCCAGACAAGTTTGGTACTAATTTGCCGACCGCGGAGAGACGGAAGGTTTGGTGGTCCATGGGCGCGAGGATCGATTCTACGTGCTATATCGCAGTGGCTCCTCCAACCACTGCGCCACGTGAGCCCTTTATTAATGTGTATATATAAATACATGTAAAGCATAAAGCTGGAAATTTTATCGCTAACGGAATGGAACGTTAACTGTCGTGCTCGCAAAACACCTCGTAACGGAGGGACACGAACGGCGTTTAGCCAGCGATGAATTTAGCGAAAATTTGGTTTACCGGTATCTCTTTTAATAGATACATCACAATGCGATCCAGAGCTGTCTTCTATAGTTTTCGCATTACTTGCTAGATTTCTGCTTTTGGCGGAATCAAAGTGCCAGATACTGTAGATGTAAAATCACACATGAACGTTTCAGTTCATGAAAATTGCATTATCTAAAGAATTCACAGAAGTTGTTCTAGAACATTAGTAAACATGTACGCATTCTCTAGAGGCACCTGCGCTAGACACAGCAAATTTGGATCGTGTTTAAGCTCTTTCGCGAGCTGGGCCAAGCTGAATAACCCCTTATCCAACTTCGAGAATACTGTAAAGCGTGAAGCGTTTGAGATCTAACAATCCTTTAAGGATGCGTCATGTATTGGAAATCGCAAAGGTGATTCTACGCATTTTCGGTTTATACACTGACCTCTGGTGGCCTACCAATGTATCAAATCAGTATATATTCTTTCTTTCATAAGCTTACACGAGGTTGGTAATTATATTTATTTTCGGCTAACGTTTCTTCGTCTTCCTCAGAGCCGATGATCCGAGTCGATGGTCCACGCTTGTTATTCTTCTCGACGTGGCAGCTTCGCCTTCGTGTTGAGTCAGGTCTTCCTCAGCGGTCCATCTCCTCGAATGAGGAATGCTCACTCGATGATGCCCTTTTACGCAGGTTGCTGATGGTGGTTAGCTGTGAATGTCTAGTGATAGTGTGATAATAACTTGTTTTTCCCGGACAATCAAACCTGCAGAAGTCGGCGAATCTGCGACTGATCCAGTGTGTATTGTAAAGTACTTTTAAACGCTTGCTACCTAGCCACCGGAGGATCAAAAAACCGTGAAGGTCTTGATAAGTGATCAGTGAGCGAGTTTTTTTGAATGACTCTGTTATGCTGCAGACGAAACTTGTGAGATGGACGACAGAAAACCGCTCACACTCACCTAAGCCAACAATGAGTAATTCTATTGTGAACCGGACTAGACGGAAGCAAGCCAATGTTTCAATGTTTTGCAGTTCTAAGATAAGAAATACACGAAGGTAAGCCGTTGTAAATAATACGTAGATATGAAATGGAGATAGAGATAGGAGAAAGGTAATCGCTGCTCGATCTGGTCTGGGACTTAAATTTTGCAAATGCCTCGGCATTGGAATGTTTGCAGTTCACATAATACCTTAAAAAATAATAATGTGCAGCGAATAAAAAAGTGAACAAAAGGGTAAAAAGGTCTATTCGGTTAAAGTTTCTATGTCTTCGTCTTCTTTAAATCCGATGATGCTAGTCGATTATCCACAGTTGTTCGTCTTCTCGATGTGGCGCTTTCATTTTATTATCGAGCAGTATCTTCATCAGTGAAGCACCGCTCGTATGAGGCAACTTCACCCAGAAATGGTGTTTCATAAAAGATGGCTGTTGTTCAGAATCCAAAAAGTTGTTGATTACTAATGCCGAAGTTAAATGACAGCCGGTTTGAAAGATATTAATTTGTTACTCGCTATGCTGGCTAACACGATACCGACTGATTTAGGATGAATTATTCGTTGAAGAACATATTATTATCAAGGAACAAGCACTGTCAACAGCAATTGTTCCGTATAAAACAGTGGTGTAGCATGACGCTGCCTCATTCGAGCGGTAGTCCACTGAAGAGGATCCAACTCAATACGACGACGAAAACACCACATCGAGAAGGCGAACAACTGTGAACCATCTACTTGGGTCATCGAGGCTTCGAGGAAGGCTAAGACGTCAAAGCCTTAGCCGAGGAGAACTTATATATAACGACGTCGTGTTAGCTTAATAGTCTAAGAAGGTATTAATTATTAATATCGACGATAAATGACGGTCGGTTTGAAAAATAAAAGAAGGAATTCAGTCGTTTCCTACTGACCGCTCTACCAGTGGGATCAGTACTTATTTCAAAAATGAGCTATGGAATTTTCTAACTTTCCGACTTGGTATACCAACATTTTGTATCTAATCTATATAGAATTGTGGAAGTCACAAGTATCGCATGGGACGGGGATGCCGGGGAAGGCTAAAGAACAGTGGAGAATATTGTTGCTTCAACGACAACCAAAGGAAAATCCGTATTGTCTAACATTGAGGCAGCGATATCCAGTTTCTTGTCAGTTCCGGACTTGCTGGTTTATCGACAATAGAGTGTATTTTCGTGATAACTAGAGAGATTATGGAAATGGAAGAGTCGTAAAACTATAGGAGAGCTTGATTTATCACCATAGGGGTATGAATGGTATGCAGCCCACTATTTACTATTTGTTAACATAGTCCATCTTGCAAAACATGGCTATCAGCAACTGGAAGTGTTTTGCTGGTTATGCTGAGATCGTTTCCTTATTTGTTGTACTCGCTCATTCCGCACGATAGTCATGATTCATCGTAGCGGTTGAAAATAACAGACAACCAAGAGCAAAATTATTAACGATGAACTCGCCCAAGAAAGTTGCTTTTTGATCATTAGGTCTACGGAAAGGCTTTACATATGCCGCAGTTGCTGCGAATCTCTATTGTATAAGTTATCGGGTGGTTGCTAAAATACAACAGAAAGTTCCGTGCAGCGAAATGAACAGACGAAATAGATATGAGCTCTACAGAGGTCAGAAAAGGCAAAGTGTCACCACAGTTGTGACTTCTATAGAGGCTACACCGATGCATGAAGTGATGCCCAGAAAAAGGTTGCTCCCTTGAAAAACAAGTCACTTCTTTGAAGGAAACAACGAAAAAAAAAACGTAGAAGAAAAAAAAAGCAGGAATATAAGAGCAGATGGCATAACGTCCAAAGTAGTGCCCTGAGGAACCACGTACAAAAAGGTAGCCAGAAAAGAAATCGCTACCGTCTGTCTACGAAAATAACATAGATGGAATAAATATTAATAAAAGATGGTCGAACATGGCCTATAATAATTAGAGTCCATTTTCGACTTTCTCTTAGCATAGTTACCATACCTTGGCCTTTTCATCGGATACAGCCGTCAGTTTCATAGAGGGCGATGAGCTACTGCTGCTACTGCTGCCTCCACCTCCAACGAGTTTTGATATGAAATCAAGGAAACCGGCATCAGCTCCAGCTATTAGCAAAAACAATGTAAAACTGTAAAGCAGCTGCATCTGAAATGGTGTTAAAAGTGATAGGGTGTTCTTTTATATTAGAATCACGAAATAAAGAATGTGTGAAATTTCATTAAACCGGTGGGATTCTTCAAGGTGAGACTTGACCGAGGTGGTACACAAATGATGCATCACGCTAGTGATAAAAAATGACTCAATCACCATTTCAAATGGAAGAAAAGAAAAAGAAAAGTGGAAAGAAAAGACTACGACGAAGATTAGAAAAATAATAGATCTTCTGCTTTCTGCCTCAGCTCGATCGTTCTGCCAGAACCTTTTGATTTTTCTTCTTGATATAATCAGAGTAGTGAAAAAGTCACACAAAATTCGCAAAGTATGCGTGAAGAAATCCATATTTGTTATCACTGCATCGGCTATTTTAGTCGGTCAAGCATTTAACTCAGTGTCTGGTCGGTCTTTTTTAAGGATTCGATCGGGTTCGCCCCAATTTTTCGGAAACTCTATCCAACATGTAGGACGATTTGCTTCATATTTTCTCCTTATCTGGTAGTAACGAGATTTTTACCACTAAATTCCACTTTAACACATGTTCCTTCGCAAACTTCAATTTACCTATCGTGACACCAATACTCAGGTTTTCATTAAGGCGAGAAAACCTTTGAATTTGATGGTTTTTCGCCCCAATTTCTGTAGATGTACTAAGTTACTAAGTTGGTGATATTCAAACAAAGCGCATCAAAATCTGCACCGTTAGCTGTTGGCCATAACACTACTGTAATTACAATCTTAACCTCTTTTATTTACTGTCTACTATAGTTTTAAACTCTTAGCTAGGTTCGTTGACAATTTGGGCTTCCTAGATCAGTCCCGTTGATGGGTGATAGTCGATGGCGTCGATCAATAGAACTAGCCGAGAGACAGGCGAAACGAAGGACCAGCATGTTGTGGTGGTGAACGCGTTACACCCCGGAAAGGACAATAGCGCGTTCGTTCCCCACCGCATACACCTGGGGCCCGGAGTTTTTCCAATATCTCAGCATTATCTTAGTTGTATTTCACTGCTGTAATTGTTTGACTATATAATATGAAAAAGTACATAGGTTATAAATGAAAAACTCATAAAAGCGAAAGATCACAATGGATGGGAAACGGATTTTCCACAGGAAGAGTTTTTCAAGTCAACTAAGCAAATGGCAAGTTTTTTCTGCCTCAGTTTCATCACAAACGGGCTGCAACTGAAGAAGCACTGTGTTGCATATTTTGGGAGGTTCAGAAGTTCATGAATCACCACTTTTCCAGCTACAATTTAATCCATTACGTAAATTATACAATGTGGTATAAATTCTATGGTCGATCGAACTCGCGACCATTTGTCTATAAGCTACTGCTCAGTGAGCAAAGCCATAGAAACTAAGAAGCTCTTGGCGTTGATCAATCCGTGAGAGATACGCCATGCATTCGACTGCATTAAGTATCATTGGAGGTGACTGAATGCATATCTGGCCTTTACAATGACTCGCGATGGCCTACCAATGTATCGAACCAGTGCTGCTATCCTCCTAGATAAGCTTGGTACCAATTCCCTGACTCAGGAGGGACGGAGGGCTTGGTTAGCCATGGGCATGGGAATCGATTCCACGGTGTGTTGCAGAGCGCCTCCGACCACTGCGCCGCACGCGCCCCTACAAAGCCATGTAGTTATCAGTAATATTATTTATTTAAATTGTTTTCCTCATACGTTTTACTTTTTTATTATTTTGCTAGGCAATCCATGACATTACACCAAATTGCTTTTTTTAGACGAATAAGTCGCAAAAAAGAATACATCTCGCTCAGATGTTGACGTTAACCAATTTACCAAGAATTTATCCCACAAAGACTCTGCTAACTGAATATCGCTATGAATAATATCTATCCACTATATTTTGAAGCCAAGAAAAGGTGGCTAATTAATGGAGCTGTATTTTTAGGTCTGCAGAATTTTATTGGACAAGCAAAAGTCTTCTATCCTTGACATCATATATGGTTATTTCCAAAGGTCCGTTCATTTAGTAGTAGGAGTGGAAAAGGTTAAATTTATTTAAACCACAAAAATAACGATGAAACGATTTAAAAATGTGGTAGGCTTAATGATCACTTAGAACCTCCTGGAAGGATTTAGTGGGTGTGCGGTTTTTAAGTTGGTTTTCCGTGTAGTGTGTTTTTTCTTAGTGACCTTTAAGACCTGTACGGCATAATAATGAATGATGTGAATGGGGAGAAGGAGAAAGGTTAACTGAACTCTTTGTAAACGGTTTTTGTAGTCGTTGAAGAGGAAGGATACTGGTACAAATACCATAAAAAGGTAAGTGTAGGATAAAAAAAGAGATAGGATCGATACTGCTTAAGACGCGCAAAATGACTTGATGACAAAGCGACGCCAATGGTGTTGGCCTGAGCAATTCCGGTTCTCCGCTTATGTTGTGTAACATAGATGGGTGTCATCGTTAAAAGTATTTGTCTCTTAACGACATCGATGTCCTCTAAAAGTTCAAACTCCGCACCGCGGACACTGCCAGTGTTTCGTCGTCACAACCTCTTATTTACCTGGATTCGTCATCTGGAATGAAGAATAAACCATGTGACGACCTCCATTAATCAAATGGCCCTCATTTTCGTAGTTCCGCCTTCTCTTTACTGATAATTTGTTATTCTATCGATGTATGAGTTCTGAAAATCTGATATTGCTACGGAGTGCTACTGTACCCACCTTCTACCTCGGTCTATCCAATACAGTACACTTATGGACCGTCGTCGTTTTCGCTACACCACAGCTTGAAAGCTAAAAATACCTCCAACCTGATTATTGTTATGATTGTTGCTTGATAGAAGATCGTTTTATTAAAAGCAAAGTTTCCTAATCGACTTTGCGATTTTTTCTTTCAAAGAAGGTGATCCTTCAATTTTTCTTGCAGTGTTTTGATTGGGCGCAGGTGGCGCAGTGGTCTGAGGCACCCTGCAACACGCACGTGGAATCGATTCTCGAGTCCATGGACAATCAAGCCTTCCATCCCTCCGGGCTTGGCAAATTGATCTAGACTTGTCTGGGAGGATAGCAGCGCTGTCTTGATAAATCGACCAGCCATCCCGAGTCATTAAATAATTATTAATTAATCATCATTGTGTAGGCCAGATATGCATTCAATCAACTCCAAACAATATTTAATGAAGTCACGGCGCATCCCTCAGAGATTGATCAACGCCGAGACCTTTATCCTTTTTAAGCGTTTAGTGCTTTGATAGGACTGGATATTCGAGTTCTTAGTTTGCTAAAAATTCACAAGTTAACGAATTAAACTTCTAATTAATTTTTAGACTTGAAAAGTGACCTGTGTTTAACATTCAAGGGCACACATTCTTGAATTGCGAGCCAATCAATACCTATATTTTTCGCAACTATCGTCGCTCGCATCTTTGTCTCATCTTGGCAAACAGCGATGGCATTGGTGATAAGAACAAATTTTACACAGCTTTCCTTATTTTGTCTGAGTTCCCAATGCCACTTGTCTTCAGTGTTTCCAAATAATAGTTGAGCGAAGCCCTGGGGTTACACATTTATCTGTCGTTAAAATGTTTTACATATAATTCTAATTATTACCAGCTATAGCTCACTAAATTAACGTATTTTTTTGAATTTTTATTTTTTTTAGAAGTCATTTCTTAATTTGGGCGCTTTCATAATTTGCTGAAGGAAATTTGCTAAACGATTTTGCCTTCTCTTGTTAACCCCATCAGTAGCCATAGAGGACAATGAATAATGCATTCAGCGTTGATCAGTCCTTGAAGGATACCCCATGCGTTCAATTTCATCAAACGTCGTTAGAACGCATATCTGGGAAGTACAATTACGCGGTGGCATAGCTATGTATCAAGTTAGTGCTGCATCCCCCAGACAGATATGTAAACAACGTTGCTAAGATATTTGCAAAACTCTGGACCGCAGGTGTCTATGGTGGGGAACGAACGCGCTATTATCCTATTATCCTTTGCAAATATCTCAGCAACGTTGTGGTTGTATTTCGCTTAGTAACCTGCCATGAAAATTATAGAAGGCAGAAAACAAAACGTTAAACATTGAGATATGTAAACAGTTTGCCGATCCCCGAGCGGTGGAGAGGTGAGCGCGAGAAGCGAGATCAAACAAACGATCACTCATGTGTGTATTACAAAGAAATCAGTATTTATGCCGCTGCACGCACGGTGGAGTAGCCCTAATTTGCAACAGTTACAGATCCTACTCAATAGCTTCCGTACAGAACAGTGATCAGAAACGCGCTGCGGTATTCACGCGGTTGGGTTCAATCCGCTCCCTAAATAAATTCATCCATTGCTCCTTACATAATAGACAAAATGGTGTCAAAGTTTTCTATTTGTTATTCATTTGTTATATGACCTATCATGCCAGGTGCAGTGCAGTGGTTAGAAATTCTGTAATACACATAGGTTCGAGTGTGCAACCCAAACTCACCAAAGTCCATCCCTCAAGAGTCGGCAAATTGGTACTTGTTCTATACGATTCTTGTAGTGAATTCAGAAAGATGAGAGAAATGATGACCTTGGAGAGAGCCCGAACCAGCTCCTGGTTAGGTTAGTGTAGCATGTAGCAAACGACCCCACTGCCCTACCCGCTTCCTCATCTGGTGCGATGGGGAAAAATAAAATTTCGTCGGTACCCGCTCCATTTAAGTGGAAAAGTGTGAAGCATTTGTTTATGCTCGTAGAGTTGGTTGAATGTATATTTGAACTGAAAAATGAATTGCAGGAGCTGATACATGCATCAGGTAAGTGTTTTCACTTGAATGCTAGTCGAGTTGACTCTTCCTGGAGTACTGAGGCGGGTGGACTACAGGGTTTCCACTAAGGGCATAATACAGTAGAATTAAGCCAACTATTTTTTTAATACCAAGAGTAGTTATACTTTGCTTACCTTACTTTGAAATGTTCTACTTTGTGTTGTTTTTGTATTTCTTTCTCATTACGTTGTAGCTCTATTGGTAGCTTTCTATTTTCGCACTTGGCCACCGTCTTCAATTTGATATGATTTGAAGTGGTTTTCTGATAAAGTCTCACGGAAAAACGTAACTTTTTGGTCGTATCGAAAACTTCTTTGAGTCGCCTTCGGTGATTTATTGTAAAATTAATAATCTTCCTTTACCTATGTGTCTATGTGTGCGTGTGGCGCAGTGGTCGGAGGCGCCCTGCGACATACACATGGGATCCACCCCGGCGCCCATGGCTCACCAAGCCTTCCATCCCTCCGGGGTCGGCAAATTGGTATCAGACTTGTTTGGGAGGATAGCAGCACTGGCTCGATACATTGCTACGCCACCTCGAGTCATTGTAAAGGCGACGTATGCATTCAATATCCTCCAACAACGACGAGAGCTTTTAGAGCTTTTCCCTTCGTGCGTTGGGAAGCATGAGTTTCGTTACACATTTTTCTAATTATGATGGCGTTCTTTTTTACATTAACCTGCGTTAAGTTTAGGCCGGTGGGAATCGAAATGAAACAAGTCGATTGTGAATTCAGGAATTTTTTCTTGCAAAAATTCAATGTACTTACGTATAACGTGGGAAAACCTGATGAAAATTGTAACGTTTAGTCAATAACTCTTGGTCCATCAGTACTATTTTGTTATGTTTGTCTTTCAGAACTGGTTGCAAATTGTTCTTTTTTGAATTTTTCATCTTAGAAAGATAACTGATGCAATTGAAGGATATGAGCTAAATATGACCTCAAAACGTCCTCTGAATAATATAAATCCTCTAAAGTTTCCCGCTAGGTTATAACAACACGATCACTTGGCTGACTGGGTGCGTTCGTGGTGTGATGGTTAAGATGGATCCTTCCAAGCATTCGACGGGGTTCTGTCCCCTCCGAACGGATGTCTGTCTTGTGCTCTTTTACGAACTGAGATCTTTATTTTCTTATTGAAGAAATGGTAAACAAAAAAAACCGTCGCTATTACTGGATGAGATGTTGGACGAAAATAGTTTATCTAGGCATAGTAGACAGCGAAAATTTTAACAAACCCGAAGAGCAGAAAAGCCAATAGTTTTGAGTAACGGTGAGTTCGAGGTACAACAATGAAAAATAGATGGATAATGAAAGGAAAAAAGCTTTAAATTGTCTGCTATGGATGGATGAAGGATATAGAGAGGATTGTGGGAAGTTTTTAAGCGCGGGTGAAAATTTTAAGGAAAAACACAAGAAATAGAGGTGAGAGTACGATAGCACGGGAATGAAAATGGCGGCCCTAAACATGACGGTCCTCAAAACCACAAAAGTAGTGTAATTTCAAGCTATGAATTAAACCTATGTGGACCTTTTAATAACTTCATGTGACATTTTAATGACCAAAGACAGAATAACGATCGATAACTTAAAGTTCTTGTAAAACCTTCCACAATTGCTCATATGATGTTTACCCTCAGGAAAGTACAAAGTAAGAGTACAGTAATCCCCATCTTTCACCAGTTTTTTTGAACTAAACTCTTTAGTAATAAGCAAAAACTGTTAGGCGAAAAAGAAGAAAAATCATTCAACAACAACGAAAAAGAAAGAATGACATTGAAAGAAAACAACAGGAAATATGAAATTATGAAAACATCTCTCCTTATACAGAGAATTCGAAAGCCATTTGTCCGAATGATCCAAAGAAATGTCTTTCATATGATTTTTCTGTTCCACGTTAGTTGATATAAAAGTTATTTGTTGCCAAGAAAACTTTAAAGTTCAAGTGACCTCTTCGGATATACCCGTATGTGCGACAACCGTTTAGCTTCATTCAAATAATTTCGTAACCGATCGATAATGGGAGAAACTGTGGCGAACATAAACTCCTCTACAGTGCTGGTGAAGAAAAAATTCGAGAGCTCCTTCCTGAAGAAAAATGATTTTTTGACGAAATCTGTGAGAAATCGGTAGGAAAGATGAGAGATTTCATGATAGATTGCAAAAATACTGAAGTACTTAGGAAACGACTAAAGAATATCGTAATAGCAAGCTGCTCACGATTATACCTAAGGTCCCGATCAATAGGCAAAATCTGCGCGAGGAGACCTTCAATGAAAGATTGTATCTCTCTGAGATACCTAAAACAAAAAAGTTATGATAAAAATGGTAGTGGTGAACCTGAAATCTTAAATATTGCCTGTAATTAGAGTAAAGCAGGAAAAAAGATTAAAAAAGAAAATGCGAGTTCAATTAGCACTGTGCAAAGAAACCCTGGTAATGATCTAAAGGTCATAACCTGAACACCTGGCTTGCATTGAGCACAATGCATTTGGTGCGAAAACAGTGGCCGCCTTTAATTTAATATCAGTGCTTCGCAGTTGATACAGAATTGAAATGAAAGTCGTAGAAATCTACAAGTCTTTGCCAACCATGCACAAGTTTATTCTGCTAGAAAAATGAAAATCTTATTTTCCGAAACCGACAAAACTTAATTTTCGCTTTTTTTAAAAATCAGATCTTGTATTTCAAATAATGAAGCAATTGAAGAAGCGGGATTCTGTTCAATAGAACAGTATAATGTCGTTCACCTGTGCATCGCAGGTGGCGTTTACGACTGCCGCAGTTGACTTAAAGGAAATTTCATTTTTTCGATTTTTTGAGAGCCTGCCAGGGGATGAGTCCCCTGTACATCGTAACGAGACAACCAGGAATATCTCCCAGCTACAGTGAAGCGGCCAACCGTTGGGAGTACATGTACATACACATATCCAAAATTGGCAGAACGTTTCGTAAAGTCATGTAAACTTTTAAGACCGTATAGTAGTCAATTCTATAAGTCAATAAAGTTCTCAATATATTTACCTAAATATTTGAAAGGCGCGTCTTTATGAATCACAAAGAATCGTGCTGTTCCCAGCATAATTAGAATCCAAGTGATAATTAGTTGGTAGCGCGAGTTTTCCTTTTGGTATCTCGAACATTATGTCAGAAACTCCCACGACCGACTTTTTATTAACCACGGCATTGATCAAGTAATTCTTCATATTTTTGTTGAGCAAATAGAAAGTCGGTCGTGGGAGTTACTGCAAGGTGTAGCAGCAAGATACTTCCGACTTCTAAAAAAAGAAGCGCTGTCACTGAGACAAAAGATCGTCTTAGCTCGACAGTCAATACACTTTCTTCGCCGCTGTCTAAAACATCGAGTCGTTCCCAACTTCATCAAACGAAGACGACTACACGACGTATGCGGACTACCAGAGGACAGTCACCAAGTACTGGACATCGAATTGCGAATACTTCGCACCTGTCTACGAAGCCGACAAAACCAGATGTTCGCCAAGTGGAAGAAGTGCGAGACGAAGGAAAACTTTTGTGCTCAGTATTTGGGGGACCGTCTCTGGAGGAGAATAGTGGGCAGACTCTGAGGAAGGCGAAATCCGCCGAAACGTCAGCTTATTCGTGAACAAAGAATAATAAAACCTCGTGTTTGCTCAACAAAAATACGAAGATCATGTCAGAGTTTTGTCAATTTACAGCTAGTGAACGTTGTTCTCAGTACTGCCGCTAGTGAAGAATTGCACCGATTTAGGTGGTAATCTTAGATGGGATTCCGGATTGCTGTGTGGAACTCCTTCTAAGCATGAGAAATCCTACCAGGAAAAGAACCATTGCAACACATCGTGGCTCGCTACCTAGGAGTACCCCAAGTTGCGATTATGATAGTACATTATTGATAAAGAAGCAATGCAGACAACTCATAGTGAAGAAGTATTGGAACAATGAAAAAAGGAAAACTAATTGACCAAGTTATATGCAAGTGTAATACATGGAATCGAAATTCTTCTATCTTTCATATCTTCCGCAGCGTAAATATCTACGGTTGAACTCAGGTTTTTCAGCAAATAAGCAATAACGCCTTAATATTGTTCTTTTCTGCGATTTTTCGCCCAATGATATGATTTCATACACTTTTAAAATATGGTAAATCCAGGAAAGTTGGAGGCAACACAGCGACTTGAATATAAGCATCTGAAAGCCTTCATCAATCAAACTAGTGAGTGCAGACACGAACCAGTTCTGAGTGATGTTATGGCGTATGCTATACGGTGACATCCATCCCAAGAGGTGGTGATTCTTGTCGAGTTCGGAATTGATAAATGAGATTGTCTGCTGAGCAGATCCTTGGAATAACAAGTATACTGAAAAGCCTGTAAAACAGCCTTCATGAATAGTTAACAAATTTGTTAACCTGTTAAGCCATCATGCATCTTTTTTATCACTTTATGAAATCTCTTAACCATAAAAAGAAGAGAAGGCTAATTTTAGTGTTGTTTTTCTCGTGCAATTCTGTTCTCATTTCCACCAATTTTTCTCAGCTTCCATTCGTTTCTACTTAGGATTTTCTTTAGCACAAATAACGTTCCGGGTGGTTACAAATACACTTAGTCTAACCGAAAAAGCATGATTTATTAAAATTTTAAAGCTGTGACTGTAAATTAATAATCCCAATATCCTGACTTATCACGGGAAACACTGCCATGCCCTATTAAACCTAGTCGGAAAGAAGAAAATCTCCCTTCCCAGTCGTAACGGCCAGCTACTTCTTGCATTGAAGGCATGGGAAAACCGAAAGAAAACTCTCTCAAGAAGGAATGATATTCGACCAGCATTCAATATTTCACTGACGATAGAAGATGGGCAGATCGTCAAGTTCAATCAAACCCACACATAAATTCGATCCTCTTCATGGACGAGCGATTGACGATAAGACGATAAGCGAACAATTGAAAGAAGCGCACAGACGAGATTTTAAACTTGACCATCTTAGTAAAAAAGCAGTAAAAACACAAAAACTGTATTAGAAAAATTGGCCGTTAATGGCTAAAGCAACCGTCGTTAATCAATCCCTCAGGAATGACCTAAGCATTTGACTTCATTCGTAGCATCGCAAATGTTAATGAATGTATGTTTGGTTCATAAAAGCTGAGCAGAGAGGCCTACCGATGTATCGAATCGCTGTTTTTATCCTTCCAAACAAGTTTGGTATAAATTCACCGTTCCTATTGGAAGAGAGATTGGTTTCACTAAAAGGTAGAATCGAATCAAATCTCAGGTGGTATTTTTTGCTCAACTTGAGTTGCGACAACCATAAAAGAGGGTGGTAAAAACAACTGTGCACATTTCAAATTTGCTATGTGTAAAAGACGTGGAGCAGTGGTCGAAGGCGCCCTGCCGCAAACACGTGGAAGCGATTCGCGCGCCTATGGCCCACCAAGACTTCCACTCCTCCGGGGTCGGTAAATTGGTACCAGACTTGTCTGGGAGGTTAGCAGCACTGGCTCGATACATCGGTAGGCCACCGCGAGTCATTGTAAAGGCCAGATATGCATTCAATAACCTCCAAACAGTGCTTAATGAAGTCGAATACATGGGGATCCCTCAGTGATTGATCAACGCCGAGAGCTTTCTCCTTTTATTTATATGTAAAAGACACTGACTGCTATTAAGTGAATTGTTTGGAGGAAAACAAATTGCCATCGATGGACAACCAATTAGCAACCATCCTCTATAAAAGGGCTCTGCTCTGTGATGTTACTTCATGCGAGCAATGCTCAACTCCTTAAGAATTGGCTTGATGTGACTATGAAGAGCCACATCTCAAGGACGAACGGCTATGGACAATGAAAGCGACCCAACCCAGTTCTGGAGAAGGCGAACATGCCGACACGTTAAACAAGTAAAACTTTTCACCTACATCATGTCAGCTTAGCACATTTATTATTGTATGTATTGCAGAGTACATTTAACCACTACGTTGCTACATGTGTCTTGAAATGTACTATTATTATGAATCCAGAAAAAAACTTGCCAGAGAAATTACACGTATTGCTGATGATATTCAATCTATCGACCGAAAATCGATCACATTCGAGTACCTTTGCAGCTCGCTCTCGAGCCACGTGGAAATCCTGAAGAGGATGACAAATAGGTGGGTTTACCCAGACGAGAAAAATGGAAAAATTATTACGAACACTGTCAGCTGAAATAAAACCAATAGGACATCGAGAAGAGACATGAGATAAACAATAAAGGGGTAACAAAGACTATAAAGATAAACAATTTATTTTCTAAACGTTGTTGCGCACGATTCTTAAGAAAAACAAACTTCCGTTCCGATTTTGTAATACTATCATAAAATTTTTATTTCTTCTCCTATCACTTTTCTCAAGATCTCGGACAACTGTTCCCACGACCCACCTTTCTCGCTCCCATCAACGCAATCAGTACATTCAATACCATCGACGGCGTACCCATTGGTAATATTTCGCATATTGTAGCCATATGATCGTATCTAAAAAGCCTTTTTGAAGAAAATTCGTAGTCCTGCAAGAAAATCGCCAAGCCTCGGAAATGGAGCCTTTTGGTCAAGAAAGTATTCAGAGCTAACTGCGTTCTGCTGAGGAGACCGTACATACCGTCGTGGACATAAACGAAGTGGCCTTTTTCAGATGTCGATTGGATCTCAGAACAAATTTCTAGGAGGAATTTTTTCCGGAAAGGCAATCTTAAGAATGAAGTCATGCTGAGCATAGTTCAGTCGTCTAAACTCAGAAAGAAAGGAAGAAGAAAGGACTGTTGGAAATGTGAAGAAGTTTTCAGGAAAAGGATATTTCAAGGTGGCACGCTCGCTGACTAAATACTTTTGAAAAAAAAGATGACAGATGCATTAGTTAGCTGAGAATAATGAATATAGAAGCAGTGGTTTATATTGGGAAAATACACGACATGCTGTACTTTATGAGGAAAGGTACTTAAGCACTCCATTACTGAGATTTTAATTTAGTGGATTTCTTTCGTAGATTCGTTTCGCCTCTTAATCCGCTTGAGTGCCATCAAATTTTCATGTACCTACTTGATACTTAATACTTGAGCCACCCGTTCTCACTAGTTGTGGGGGCCCCAGCATAATCTCCGGAATCCCTAGGAGAGCCTGACCAAAGTCTGCCCCAGGTCGTCACTACGACAGGTAGTCGCAGCCCTTGTGGATCAGAGGGAGATCTACCACCATGCGACTTCGTTACCAGGACGGTGGTGAAACCTGGTATTGGTTTACTCTTAGCTAGGCTTCCTGATGGAAACGCCGGACTCGTTCTCAGTTTGGGAAACTGCCGGGTGGACGAATACCCCACCGTACACCGCAGTCCGACTCCAGGAACACCTCCAAGCCACGATGAGGCGGTCATCCGTTGGGAGGTTTGATGTACCTAATAAACATAAAGGATACAGCTCTCGGCGTTGATCAATCCCTGAGGGATGCGTCATGCATTCAACTTCAGTAAGGACCGTTGGAGGTGACTGAATACATATCTGGCTTTTACAATGACTCGCCACGGCCTATCGATGTATCGAGCCAGTGCTGCTATCCTCCCAGACAAGTCTGGTACCAATTTGCCGACCGGCATGTGTGCATCACAAGGCGCCTCTGACCACTGTGCCACACGCGTCCTTTTAATGTACTTAAGATTCTACAAAGATAGAAGAAAATACTAAAAATTAGGCATTGTTGCCTACCTCTGCCATCCGGTTATAATAATGCCGTGGAATTTTGCGAACTTTGGCTCCTGAGCCTGAAAAATCTCAGTAAAATGTTGTTTCAAAGTGTTCAGAAATTTACAAATATATAGTTATGACTGGGGTAATGACATGCAAGTCACCAAAACCAACAATTTTCGTATCGATCCATGCCAGATTGTTAGTTTCGTAGTGTTGAATGTCGATGTACTTAGCCGACGGGAAATTGGCACCTTTGTATGCCGATGATGCCCATACTACGGGAAAATTGCTGGCTAAATCGGAGAAAGCCGAATCTGTAAAGAACAGAAATCGTAATCGGTTGACACCTAAAGATCCAAACTTTTATCCCATTGACATTTTGTTAACCGATTTAGTTCAGCGTTTTATTATTCATATTGCCTTAGTGTTTGGTAAGGACAGAGGACTTGCAGATGCCATGCGACAATACACAGCTGTCGCTTCGAACCCAGCTGGGACTAACCGAGCCCACTATTGTTCTGATCCAAAAAAATGAATACCAGACTTCTCTGTATAAAAGCTACCTAAGACCGAAAAAGACGGGCCACGGCCGGGAAGAGCTCTAATGGGGCTATGCAGAGATTACACTGAGAATCAATTCAATAAGCATTCAATGAAACTGATGGAGAAGACGATTTGCTGAAGTTGCAGCCAAATCCACACCATAATGCAAACGCTTTCATGTCTGAAGCATAACAGACAGTCAACAGGATGATAGCGGTAATGCGATTCTCATAAAGTGGGATACCGATAAAGAAGACGAAAAAGGTTGTTTATCCAGTACGTTGCTGTACAGTTAATTCGGATTATTCCAAAGATATGCAAAGCTAAAAGTAATTTACTAGGATGTCCTTTGTGTTTACTTTTTTTGGTGACAAGCAAGCCACTGATGATTCACTACTAGGTTTCGTCACGGTAATTGGGAATACCCATAGATTACTCTAAAATTTTCTCCCGAAGTCGCTTTAATCGTTATTGGGAGAAAGTGAAACCTAAAAGGTTCTCATATACCGTACGGTCATCAATTACATATGAGAAGTGTGGTATCACTTAAACCCACGTTTACTCTTTAGCAGCCATATCGGCGTACAACAACCTAACATGAGAAATATAACAGTAAAATTTTAAAGGTGATTAAAAAGGTCTGGAGTTTTGCAAATATTTCAGCATCATTAAAGTTATATTTTGCAATGCACCCTGCCATTAAAAAGAAAAAGTAGGCGGTAAATAATGAGTTAAAATTGTGATTATAACTAGAGCCTCAGCTTAACTGGGTTTGTAGCCGATTTGGGCTCCCTAGATCAATCCCACTGAAGGGTGATTGCTGATGGCAGAGCTCGACAGAACTAGCTAAGAGACAGGCGAAACGAAGGACCCGCATAGTGTGGTGGTAAACGCGTCACTCCACGGAAAGGATAATAGCGCGTCCGTTCCCCACCGCAGACACCTGCGGTCCGGAGTTTTGCAAATATCTCAGCACTATACAAGCTATATTTCACAACATACCGTGCCATTAAAAATAGGCAGTAAATAAAAAGGTTAAGATTGTGATTAAAAAGTTGTTTCAAATGGACTTGAGAATACCTGTCATTGTGACAATATTCTCAGAATAATCCCATATCACCGGCTCGATAAGCTCTCCAAGTTTAAGATCAGCAATAAGATGAAAGTCAAAAGCTTTGAGCATGTCATGCCATGCTAACACTCTGAATAAGAAAATTCTCGAAAAAAAAACAAAATGTTCTCAAAAATTCTAAAATCCTAATATAAAACAAAATAAAATCAAATTAATAAAATCCTATTTAAGGGAAAATTCTGCAAAAAATAAAATAAGAAGCTGAGATAAAAATAAAACAAAATAAGAATAAATAAGATTTGTAAAGGATTCTTCTCATTCATTGTAATTTGGTTTCGGCTTAGTGACTTGTAGATCTAATTGTTGCATTTACAATTGTTAGCTCAATCGCTGTGAACCGTAACGGAGGTCACGGATCTTTTTATAGGAGGTGATACATTAGAAGTGAAGAAAAAACTGGCTAGAACTTTGTTTTCCTTGTTTGGGAGCCAGGTCTATTAGGTATTTAGAACCTATAGAGAAATAGAAATGCTGGATAGAAGAGAATCCTCATCTCTACGGTCAATCAGTGATTCAAAAAAGTACTGTTAAAAATTGACCAGTGCTGGGTTTCCTTCACCTGAAAAGTGCTCTATAGAAGCTGCAATGGTTGAATGGTACAGCAATGCTTTGACGGTAAAGGACAGATATGAAGTAGTTTTAAGGTTTCGATTTCCCCAATCAAGACCTAAAAGGGGTTCATTTGCATCACGTTTCATAAAACGTAGATTCAAACAAAGTTTCAGATATTTCGAAAGTAATGCATTTTCTCCTAACCATTTATCGCCTCATTGTGGCTCGCAGGTGTTCCTGGGTGTAGGACTGCGGTGTAAGCGGGGAGATTCGTCCCCACGGCAACGTCTCCCAAGCTGAGAAGGAGTCCGGCGTTTCCATCAGGAAGCCTAGCTAAGAGTAAACCAATACCAGGATCCACCACTGTCTTGGTATCAAAGTCGCATGATGGCAAATCCCCTCTGATCCACAAGGGTGGCAGCTGCCTGTGGTGGTGAGGCAGACATTGGCCAGACTGTCCTTGGGACTCCAGGGAACCGCAATGACTAAACTTGCAAGCTTCCGGAGAATGAAAATCATGCTAGGGCAGTAAGTAATACATTTTGATCCTTATGCCGAAGCTTTCAATACTTGGTATAAATTCACAAAAACGAGCATGACTATTGTTCTAACGATGAACAGAGCTCATGCGCAACTTTTGGGACAGTTGTTTAATAATCGCATATGCTCGAAAGTAGAAAAAAAGTAAGCCGTTGTTGACATCCTACGTCCTAATACTGTAGTCCTTAAAAAAATTTTGCTCAATAAGTGCTTCCGATAGGATTCTGAAGTCATAGACGAATACTCACGTCGTTCCTTCAGTCAGTTCCTTTACAAATAACGCAATATCCTTCATATGAGAGAGAGCCAGTAGTTGTTTGTCGCCGCCTATTGCGTGCCTTGAAATCCATTCAACGGACTGCTGACAGACGCCAAACTGAAAGCATTACATTATCAGCTCAGAAAATGTACAGAAACGCACCGAAAACAACAGATTCGCCAGATCCTTTTGAAAAATACTAATAAACACTGGTTTCCTTCGAAGATTTTGAGGATTTTTCATATTCTTCATCTTAAGCGATTTTCGTACACTAAAAATGTTTAACGAAAGTCTACCGATATGTAAGTAAAAATGATAACGCTCTCGGCGTTGATCAACACCTACGGGATGGGCAATGCATTCGACTTCATTAAGCATCGTTTGGAGGTGACTGAATGCATATTTGGCCTTTACAATGATTCGTGGTAGCCTACCGTTGTATCGAGGCAGTGCTGCTATCCTTCCAAACAAGTCCGGTACCAATTTGCCGACCCCGGACAGATGGAGGGCTTGGTGGGCTATTGGAGCGGAGATCGATTCTACGCGTGTGTCGCAGGGGCGCCTCCAACCACTGCGCCACACACGCCCCATGGCGAGGTATGTTGCGATTATTCTGATTATAACTACAGTCTCAGCTTAACTTGGTTCATTGCCGACTTGTGCTTCTCAGATCAATTCCCCTAACGGGTGACTGCTGATGGCGCTGATCGATAAAACTAGCTGAGAGATAGGCGAAATGAATGACCCTCATGGTGTAGTGGTGAACGCGTTAGCTCCTGAAAGGGTAATAGCGTGTTCGTTCTCCACCGCAGATACTTGCGATCCGGAGTTTTGCAAATATCTCCGCATCACTGAAGTAACAAATGAATGTCTCTGAACTATACAGGGCACATTTTCTCCTACAAATAGGAGTCCTCTTTTTAAACGAATAAGATTTCTGCATCTGCAGATACAAAGTCAAAAAAGGTCGATAAATTTATAAATTCAAGAAAATAACTGGAAAAATACCACCACCTCAAAGGCTTCGTCCGATCCTATGTGGAGGTATTTAATGCCAAATGATTTATGGACGTCAATCACCTGCTTTAAGGCATCTTTCACTACTTCTACACCTTTTTTGTCTCCAAGGCAGAGAACCTGAATAGCACCACAAAGTAGTAAAAAAAAATAAGTGACGAAACCAGTTTGTTATTGTTCGAAATAAAGTGGTCCATTTATCTGCAACTTTAATAAAGGCATTTTTGAGGTAATCGAGTTTCTTTTGCAGTAATCCCCACGACCGAGTTACTTCTATTAACCTGGACATTGATCAAGTAATTCTTCGTATTTTTGTTGAGCAAACACGAGGTGTTATTATTCTTTATTCACAAATAAGC